CAGTTCTATCATTTTAGACTTCGGTACTGGACACTTCCTCAAATATCAGAAATGGGAGAGAACGCTTCCATTTGGAGCTGAAACACTGCTGCCACTCGCTTCAAGAGGGGTTTTTTTTTTGATGAAGGAAAAGGACTAGCTTTATAGAAAAGTATCAATAGGGAGAAGCTCAAGATGGAGAGGAAATTAAATTAATGAAGAATTGGATACAGAACTCTAACTTCATTCTTTTGCTATCTTTTTATCTGTTCAGACAACGTTGCTCTGGCAAGGATGCATCTATTGTGTTTTTTGATCTTTTCGCTTGCTTTTTGTAGAGGTGCTCGCAGAGGTCTGAGGCCACCCCTCAGCAGGCAGTGGGTGACAAAAGGAGTCGGACACCCCCTGAACACCCTACAGCAGCAAGTACAGCTTACTGACCGCTGACTGATTTCAGATGTCGTCTCGAGTTGATAGATGCCGGCCAACGATACCTAGTAAGTCCTTGTTTAAATGAAGTAACTAAGAGATGAGATTCTGGACTTAAATAAAAGTGTCTTTAGCTAAAGTATAAGTGATTGGGGGATTTTTAGGAGCGCTCACTGAAACTGATTTAGTTCCTTACAATTAACATCAACAGCAATTTCTTCAGCTACCAGAATGGAAGCTGCTTTGCTTCCAAGGCATTTGTCTCAATGTGTTTTCTCTTAGCACGCGTCTAACATCGACCTTCAAGAAAAAACAACTGCTGCTTAATGCCTATAAAGTAAGTGTCCGTCACAGTAACCTCGCCAGACCAAAATTTATAGGGCACTCTTTCTAGATTATAGATAGTCCCATGTATACATTACTTCCACAACCGCTTGAGCTCTACCCTTGCTTGTTCAGAACTAGGACCAGATCAAAGAAATTTAGGTTTTCCCCTTCTATTTCAAAATCTAAAAGGCATTTAGGCACCCCACCTCAATTTTTCATAGTAAGAAGGATCTGGACCTGCAACCTAAATAGATGAAAAGCTTACTTGAAGAAAAATCAAGCCCATTTAAAGACAATAACCTTGCGAACCCATGTTGTGATACTGATTTCTTGTCTTTGAAGAGAAAAAGGTAGGAATATCCCAAGAGACCTTAAGAGTACTTTTTTTTTCACAGAATAGTTAATTTTGATACTCTTAAGACTGTTAGTATTTAGTTTAAATTTTGTAGTAAGTTAATCTGCATAAGCAGTTCAAAGCCAGAGATTTCTTCTGCTGTGTGAATTCTTTTTCAAACTGAAAATATCTACATATATGGAAAATATATGGAAATAGATCTTCTTTCATATGAAAATATGTATATGAAAAATATGGGCACTGCCACTTTGCAGATATCTCTGTTTTTTATACAGACACTACTAGGCCTGTCATCAGGAAAAGGATGGACATGCACCAAGGACTCTAAATGCAAGAACCTTCAACTCCTGAGAACCCAAATTCCTTGACTGCATGGTGAGAGTCAGTCTGCTCCCATCCTCCTCATCCACCGGCAGCTCTGCCCTCTCCAAAGCAGGGCCCGGGAGAGGAACAAGCTTACCTGCGGTATCTACACAGAGATGCTGGTTACTGCTAGAGTTTCTCTCCCTTTTCAGTACTGCCTTAAGAGATAACGTGTACTTATTGACCTAACTTTATCTAACAGGACTACACCTTAAGGTTTTTTCCTGGGGAAGGTCTCCCACTAGGACACACCAACCTTTCCACAAGCTTTGGCTTCTTGAATTCAATCTGATCCTGTTTTCAAAGACACCTGGCCAACAGCCTACACATTCGAAGATCAGAAGAAATAAATTTTCCATTTCAGAACTTTTGCCTCTGTTGCCCTCAGCTTTGAAAATACATTTGCCCCCTGATAATCTAACAGGGACAAGGAAACTATTCTGAAGCTGAAGGCACTACAAGTTGTGAGACTGCTAAATGTCTAGCGTAGCACTCTGGAGCAAGGGTGACATTTCTGAGGCTTTAGGAACCTAAAGGATTTTTTCGTAGGTTATCAGTCCACTCGTTTCGCTGTTCCAAGCTTTCTGATTGAAAGCAATTTCCACATGCCAAGAGTAGCAAAGCACCTAGGCAGAAACACGCATTACTCAGTACTGTACTTTGATTTCCTCACTAATGGGAACATAACCAAGAAGAGTTGTAATTACCAGATTTCCATCATAGTTAATAGTGAATAGTTATGGATCTTTGATAATTTCTTTTTTTTTTTTAAACATAGTAGCTTTAAAGATATCTAAGGTAATTAGAAGTATTTAATTGTGGCTAACAGCAACTCGTATTTACTATGGAATACTCTCCGAAAGACTGCAGACTTCCACAAAACTCAGCAAAAAAATAACATGTGGTATCTCAGTACTGTAAATCCTAGCTTGGTCTTCAATTCCAACAAGACATAAATTGTATACAAGTTAAAGCTTTTAAACTAGTCACTGTTTGGGATTTATGCATTCCAGCCAGGTCTCATGGCTGATCAGCTTAACAGACCTTGTAGTGAAACGACTGCTGCACTGCTTCAGTCCCGTGGAAATAGTATATTCCCTAAGAAAAAAAAAAAAAAAAAGGGGGTGGTGGTGGCAAGAAAACAGGACTTTTGGTTGAAGCATAAACAGCTGGTCAACACAAACCTTTCAGAAATTTACTGTATAAAACAATCATAACCTTTCTTCCCTGTAGGCCCGTATTTCCCACAGAGACAAGTATTGGAATTAATAAGCCCTTCCTTTGTATACTGGAAATCTTGTGTAGCGTAAGTGCAGCGCATTAATTTGCTGTTCATGTTCCCTTCAATCCACACTTTTGGTTGCACTCTACGTAGCTAGCAGCTTCTCCCGGCAGTTACACATAGAAACACTCTTAATAGAAGATAAATTATTCCCACTTAAAACACAGCTGCCAAAAGACGCCAGCTCTTGTTATGAAACAGGCAGTTCACAGAATTTCTTCTAGGAAAAGTTGTAGCAAGAAAGTGTCTAAATGTAGGTGAGGACGAGTGAAAAACCAATATCCCAAAACTAAAATTTAACATCTGCAGGGATTCCCAGGACTACTTTTGGCACCACGCCTTAATACTGGGATTTTAAATTGAACAAAAGAAATGGACGCTCCAACACATCCTTAAGCAGGTGCCTGAGGATGGTTTTGTATTTCCATCCACCTCTTCATTCAAAAGAATGAAAACAAGTGCTGGAGTTGCTATGGGTCTACTTTGATTTCTCTACCATACTCCTTTCCAAACAAAGCTGAGAAAAATCCATGAAAGCACAGGCATCCTGAGCTACACTTAATATGTTTTTAAGTCAGGTCTATCACAAAGTGTCAGCTGGTACTGGTTTTTCTAAATGTGTGTGTGTTTATTTCAGCCCTAAAAATAAATCATTTTGCAATATTAGGAAAAAAAAAATCAATTATGCTGTTGCTTAATCTATGCCTTATCTGGGAACAGTTTGAAAATAGGAGACCCAAACAGGATAAAGTTAATCTTTAAAACACCAAAGTCATACTGTTTCTGTTTCCTGAAGAACCTAATTTGAAGCTGGAACATTTCTTGCATAGCAGTTACCTCTATCAACAACCAAGTGAAAATCCATATTAATTCAAGTTTTTAAATTAAGTGCAATACAGGAAAAATTTGACTCAGCAGAAGCTATACTTCACTGGTATTGCATATATGTAAAGCAACGGAAGTTTTCGAACAGGTGACCTCAGCCAACTGCCAGATTTTATACATGCCTGATAAAGCTCCAGAAAACCTTGGATTTTTTCTGGAGGTTTCAAGTTGAAAGTTTAATGAGTAGGCAGTCGGCAGTGCTCTTTTCAAAGTCACCAAGGAATTCTCTAAACACTTGAAATGATTACATTTGCAATGAGCCCTATAAAAAGTAAATATCCAACCCAATTGTGACCAAGCTCACTCTATGTCTGTTTAGAAGATTCCTCCCCGGGTATGTACAGTATGTACAGTTCAAACAGCCTCTTTCACATCCGTGACCCTATGCAGCAGAGCATCAAGAATTTCTGCCTTAATGGGCCTTAATCACACGGTTAAGAGCTGTCTCAGAGTGAACCTCTGGGCTTCGGTGCTCAGGACAAACAGCTCTTCCAAGACTGGCAAAAAGGACGGCTTTAATTTTAGGCATTTTTCAAAGAGAATGTTGGCTTTGCATCTTGGCTTGTATCAGGAATAGTGTGGCCAGCAGGAGCAGGGCAGGGATGGTGCCCCTGTCCTGGGCACTGGTGAGGCCACCCCTCAAATGCTGGGGTCAGGGTTGGGCCCCTCACTACAAGAAAGACATTGTGTTGCTGGAACATGTCCAGAGGAGAGCAACAAAGCTGGGGAGGGGTCTGGAGCCCAAGTCTTACAAGGAGAGGCTGAGGGAACTGGGGTTGTTCAGCCTGGAGCAGAGGAGGCTGAGGGGAGCCCTCATCGCTCCCTACAACTGCCTGAGAAGAGGGGGGATCTGGGGGGGTGTGTCAGGCTCTGCTGCCTGGTAACGGGCGATGGGATGAGGGGAAACAGCCTCAAGTTGTGCCAGGGCAGGGTTAGGTTGGACATTAGGAAAATTTTTTTCACTGAAAGGGCTGTCAGGCTCTGGAATGGGCTGCCCAGGGAAGGGGTCGATTCCCCACCCCTGGGGGTATTTAAAAGCCAGGCAGATGAGGTGCTTAGGGACAGGGTTTAGTGGTGGGATGGCAGGGTTAGGGGAACGGTTGGACTTGATGATCTTAAAGGGCTTTTCCAACCTAAACGATTCTGTGATTCATTCCTACCACTCTCTCCATAGGCAGTTCACTTCTGTCTTTAGACTATTCTGTACTAACGCTCACTGGCTTCTGCTTGACAGCGAGAAGCACTCTGATACTCGGATAATAAATGTCATGCAATGGCCTGCGGGCAATGGTTGCTTGACAACACTCCCATGTCCTGCTGGAAGAAGGCATCAGATGGCACTGGAGAAGAGGAACCAGTGTGTTTAAAGTCATCTGCTCACTGAGAACTCTACGTCATGACTGCAAAGTTAATTTTACTGCCTTATTAAAGTGCTGGGAATATAGGTCAGCAAAATTGCAGTTGAACTACCAAAAAAAAAAAAAAGGAAAGAAAAAAAAGAAACCCCAAATCTAACAGAGCACTGCTTTAACATCAGAAAGATGGTGTTCTAGCAGAGTATCTCATTTCATGTTTGTACCGGACAAAGCGGTACTCATTTGTCATTTCAAAATTTTGTTCTGTTTGAATTCTTGTTTCATTAATACCTGCCTTCACTCTTAGGCAAAATTTTATTCCAGGTCGGAGCACAGCCAGAACATGTTTTATGTTCAAGTAACTACCAGTGGAGCAACTACAGCCACCAAACAGAATCTGGCAGGCATGTAAAAGCAATTTAGAAATCAGTATTTTCATACATCCAAAGTGTGTTATTCCCAGACTTGCATATATACGACTTACATGCATGTACATGTGTGTATGCATGCACGCAAACATATGCATGAGCCATACTAGAAGTGATTTCGGATTATAAATAACAGGTAAACAATAAAGAGTAATTTCTAACAGTTCTTAAATCCAAGAAAAAGTGGTGAAGGAGATAAGTGATCTGCACAGTTATAGCAATCCCTTGACACTACTGCACTGCAGCATGGACAGGGAAGGGAAAAAAAAATGGTATCTTGGGGAATATTCAGGTCTTTAGGGGCTACCAAATATCTCAAGAAAGAGGGCTGTGTCAGCAACTCCACACATCAGCACTGCTATTTCCTGGAAAACTCTGCAATAATAAAGTATTATAAACAGCAAAGGAACTAAAAACCCCCACGTATTTCCAGATTTAAAAAGTCTAAGTCTTCATTCGCCTAAAAAAACAAGTAGAAAAATAGAAGCTTTTTGACCAAAAAATTATTTAAACATGACTAAATTAAGAGCTTCAGTTTGAAGAATTATTTTTTTTTCTTTTTATTTAGTTTTGAAAAATAATTCAGATGCCAAATGGCATTCCAAGTTTAATCCAGGGAAGATAAGCAGAAATATTAAGGCCCATAAACCAGCAGCTGATACTGAGAGCATCACCTCAAATGAGTGCTGTAATGCAGCTATGGTCAGTGTACTCTCTGTTTTCCTAAAGTGGCTTGTTTCAAACAAATTATGTAGTTTCTAACTCTTCTTTTCAAACTGGAATATAGGGAAAAATCAGAGGAAAAGGTTTTTGTAACTGTGTCCCACATTGTGCTGATGTCGCCTTTTGCCTCTATTAAAACAAGTAACTTCAACTTTCGGACTACTTCATGCATTTTCAAAATGATAAAAATTCAGAAACAAATTTAACTGAGATGCAAGATGAGAACCATATAAACCCCAAACTCTTCTTTTAGTCCCTGTACAACACGTGCAGTTCAGTTCATCTCTGAGTATACAACACTACAGACAGAACATAAAATCCTCTTGTTAACATGCAACACAAAACAGACCTGTTAGACTGCAACGTAAGATGAATCAAAGCAAAAGTTATGAAAAGTATTAAAAGAAAAAGGGATAAAAATACATACACTTGGTATAGGCATGACCTGCATCTGGTCACCCTGGGGAAAAAGAAAAAAAAAAAAAAAATCACTGTAAGGGTAATGGCTTTTAAAGGGTAGAACAAAGGTCTGTAGCAGTAAATGTAGCACTCAAACATTGTAAACCAAAAGTTCAAACTTTTCAAGAAACCAGGGTAAAAAAAAAAAAATAAATAAATGAAAACAGGATCTTGCATTTTAGTCGCTGAGATGATCGGTTAGTATATCGGCATTTATGATTTTTAGAGGATTGGACTGGTAAAACTCATGCTATGATTAATAAGAGATGGTAAGAAGGTACCTGTATTTACTGTAACTTTTTCAGCTTTAAGATCTACTAATGGGTATATTTGTCTATTTTCACTGCAGCAACAAGAGGCCCAGCCAGACCTTGGTAGCAGGGCAGAAGCCCACTCCTTGAAGTTAACTTCTCTTGAGAGAACTGCCTCAAAAAACAGCATTTTCACTTAGGCAACAGGAAAATGCTCAAGATGGACATCATCATCATCATCATGGATGATGAAGATAAACCAATCCAAGGAATTTCACTTTCTTCACCCAGATAGAGGCAACAGTATCGGTGCTTTTCCCATGGTCTCACTTTTGTGTTGTATTTGGGAGAAGGCAAAACAGTCTTTGGCCAACTTGACCTTTTCTTCTCATCCTGGAACCCAAGACAAAGACACTTCCATTTACAGCTTCTAAATAGAGATAGGCTGGTCGCCAACTCAATATGTAAGACATTTTGGGAATAGGAACCGTATTTTCTGATCTTACTGATCTGTCAAAAACAAGTATTCGTTTTCTGGTGGGCACAGTGCATTAAAAAAAAAAAAAAAAAAAAAAGGAAGCTGATCCTTCTAGCACAGACGTTACTTAGGTGGATTATTTTATTCTTTAATTACTTGGACAACACAGGCTCTGACTACCAGCAGATTGACTATCTACTGAAAGAGCCATTTTTAACATTAAAAAATGTTCCAGCTGAAAAAGTCTTCTGTTCACTTATTTTGGAGTCTAACATAGTGTTGACACATAACTGACAAACAACAGTAATTCAGTATTAAAGTCCTTTTTTTATTGCTACAGCAGCAGAAATTTCTACTGAAGTTTGACCAAAATGCAGAGAAGCTGATGAAGCAGCTAGAGAGCAGCAACTACCGTAAACTATCAAGAACTTTACTTCAGACAAAAGAATCTGATTTCTATAAAAACAAACACAAAACCTGGTAAGAATCGAAGTTTTCCTCAAGGTAATGGCAAAAAGAAAATAATAATAAAAAAAATAATTCAGCACGTTAATGTCGTGTTAGTGGAACATCATTTGAAGCTCATGGGCCATTTAAGAAAGGAGTGAATTTGAGTAGGTGCCAGTCAGATTAGCTGGCCTGTGATCAGATTGTTATCAAGGATATGGTTACACAGAGAGCACACAGATTGTGAACCTGTGTTGTGTTTTGTATTTAAAGGCATTTTTTGCATTCGCTGGTAGAGAGGATACAACTGGAGCACCTCTTCTGTCAACAGACAAAAACAGCGTATGAGAGAGAGAGAGAGGCATATCCACAGTTACGGTACAAGACTATCTTGCTCTTGGACAGAAATATAGCTGTGTATCACAGCAGGTTTTCCCACAGACTTCAAGAGGCACTCATCGCAGCGTAACTCGTTTTCTATTTTGGCAATCTCTTGAAGCAAGAGCTGCACACTCCATGGTATCACTGTTAAGCCTGACTTTCATGGGAAACCAGAACCTAAGTTGCTAAAGGACTCGCACTACTGTTCACTTTATTTTTCTTGCAGAATTTCTTAAATCAAAAAACAGGGAAAACAAGCAAATTTCCTAAGAGGAACCATAAAGGTACCTATGCAAATATCAAAATGGTAATGATCACAACTGGAAAAACAAGCAGAAAGATAAATGCAAGAGTCTGTTGGTAAAGCGTAAGTGTTCATGAACAGGCAAATGCTTTTTAAAAACAAGCCGACTATGGGAAACTTTTAAAAAGTGTCCTGCCTCATTTCCTGATGCCTTGGAACAGGAAGGGAAGTAAGTCATAACGTTATCGTTTGAAATAGATGACAGATGACTGCATTTGTTGAAGTCTTTCCACAAGCTCCCTGATGCTGGTAACAGGACAAAGCTGTTCCTGTAATGCCAAAATTTCCCCATTCTATCACTAAGATAACCCACAAACTGATTTGTCCAGCCACTGAAATCAGGTTTGGGGTTTTTTTCCATGGCATGATATATACAGATGAAACGATAAATCCTACCTTTTCCCGTCGCTATGTAATTTTAGTCTGAGAGACACAATGTTTTCAGTGCCACATTCATTCACTGATGCTGTCTGTCTGCAGTCACCTACGGGATCCATGAGCATCAAGCAACAGACCACACTACTTTGCTTTTTTGAGAACCGTCAGTATTCAAAGATAAGGAGCTGTTCCATTTTAAAGAATAACCCCTTAAAAGAAGCAGCTGATCAAAAGAACAGATTTATCATATTTGTTTCTTGAACACAAAGCTTATACTAGACCATGGCAGGTTCTTTAAAAACAATGTTATAGTAGCTACTTGACTCTTTCATTGACTTGGACTACTGAGCTTTGCCTCTTAATATAGATGTTTTGGGGAGACAAAGCGGGTCAGAATGAGTAGGCAGAAACAGAGGAACCAAACATAGCTATACAGAGGGTTTTTTTTCTAAATAGACCTACCATACCACATGCTGACAGTGACCAACAGAACCAAACACTAGGAATTTTCTTGTTTGGATCAGCCAAGCTTAAGCAGAAGGAAGAATACTGTTACTTAGATTAATCTCGCTTATCTTCCTCCACACTGGGGAGTGAGACTGGTTTCCACGCCTGTTGGGAAAGCATGCTCTTAATAAGACTCCCCATCAAAGAGTCCATGCTCATGTGGCTCCTCTAGGTCTCTTGCACGAAGGAGATACTACTTTTGACCTGAAAAACGTGCTCCCTACAAGCTGTTTTTCTCACTCTGGTGAACCATATTCACGCTGGATAGAGAAGATCCCTTCCCCTGCACTTTCAAGAGATCCCTTTATAAGCAGAGAAGAGCGTTGGAGACATGGACACAGGTCATCGAACAGCTTGCCAGCATCACCTCGGAGATGACAGCACCGTGCAGCAAAAAGCAGTGAGGAAAAGGAGAGCTAATTTTTGTAGTGGTTAGGATGGGTGACGTGAAAATTCAAGGACTTGACCTTTCTGGCTTCATTCCTGTTATGGGGAAAGCAGTGGGGGCAGCTGCTGCCCCCAGAATAAACCTTGTTCTAATTCTGTCTTCTTCCCTGTTGAGTGTGGATCAAGACCTTCTCCTCTCATCCAACAAGTATAAAAAACCCTTTCCTCATTCATGTTTCATCTTGTTGAACACGAGCCATCTACCCGATTTGGATCTAACCGTGAAACAAAAGCAGAGATGACTCTAGTGGAAGTGGGTTGTAAGTGAAATGGCAAAGTGCCAGTAGACTTGTCGGAGCTCCCTCACCCATCACGATGGAAGGCGAAGGCAAGAGAGAGCCACTTTGCATCTAGCTTTTCTCACCGTTTTCTGTCTAGATCCCTCCCTGAAGCCTGCAGATGAAATCTGTATGTGCAAACACTTCAAAACGCAGGTAACAAATTTACCCAGAAAAAAACCCCAAAAAACAACCAACCTTACACCAAGAAGCATACCCAGAAAATACACAAATGGAGTCAAGTTGCTAACTCAAGAACAGAAATTGAGATTTGAATTCATTCAGAAGAAAATAAAAACCTCTTCCCTCTCCCAGCACTCTGGACCCTAAAAAAACTGGCTGGAAGGTCATTGTGAGTTGCCTGCTGCTGAGGAGGCAGGAAAAAATTAGCAAGGATTTCATGAGGCTGAACATTGTGTGCTCCCGATGACACATCTGGCTCGGCATCCAAGCTGTAGACAGGCTGATATATTCACGGTGATAGAGAGCTACGTCTTAGCATATATCTTTGTGCTGCACTAAAATGCTGTCACGTTTTAAGAAAAACAAATATCCAGCAGTTTCAGTAAATACAAGTTATTATTGAAAAATGTGGTATTGAAGCTTTAGAGACAGAATTTACCAGTAGAAGAGTCAGGCTTGGACAAGCTGCTGCTCTGTGAGCAGAGGGTTTAAAAGTGAACTCAATACTTTAAAGAAGTTTTTGGTCTTTTTCCCCTAATGGAACAGAAGTCAGGGCTGAAAAACCCTGTTTATTCAAAACCATGTTCAGTTTGGTGTTTCTTCCAATCCTATTAAGAACATGACTCTTGACTTGCCAAGCAAAATGAAGTCACATAATTTAGTTAAATACTAAATGAAGCACTGATCTAATTTTTTCTAATACAGCAAAATAATAATAATATTAAAATCACACAATGCAATTAGTCTGAACAAAATTTCAGAACTGTGTTTTCAATTTCTTCATAAAATACTCTTCCCCACTGTCCCTCCCTTACAACAGGTTAGCACTGAAAGAACCGAGGCTCCTAGACAGAAGGACGTTAGCTCGTCCCATCAACTTCAAGAATATGCCAGAAGCAACACAGAATGAACACTGAATTCCTGCAAGACCAGCAGCAGCTTTCCCTGCTCCTTTCCCTCCTCTGAAGCCTTTATCACCGGTTTTCATGTTACAACTCTACTGAACAGTAAAGACGAAAGGAAAGTACATCCAAGTTGTTTTAGACTAGTTTCTAATGGAAACTATTTAACATCATTGTGCAATTTTCTTTTTCCATTTTTGAAGGAAAGGGTCACAACGCATGAACTGACTGGGCCGTGGTCAGAGGTCACCTGTGATGTGATAAATAATTAATACAACATACAAAAGAGATAGCAGATGTAAGTAAGTGACCATTTGAAGAGCAGATCAACAGAATTTAAACTATTCTTAACTTGGCAGGCAGATTAATGTAACAAGAGCTTTAATTAAACAGCAGAGGATTTTAAGCAGTGAGTTGTCAGGCGTGCTTTTCTTTCCTAAAAAAGGTAGTTTTGTCATTCCTGCACATTTAATTTCACCAGTTTAGAAACTGAGTCCTACTGTTGCACGTATTTTCCCCCAACTCACTTATGACTTCTGAATCTATACAAGATGCTCACTGTAACTCGCTCAAATCCAAGCAGCCCGCACGGTTCTAAGACACGGCTCTTGTAGTAAAAAGCCCTAGCCTGACAGTGTAATGATATTCAAATCTTCAGTGCTGTTTTTCTTGCTTTAAAAGAATTTCCTACTTACACTAACCATGTTAGCACTGAAAATAAACACGGCATATAAAAACACATACAAAGCTTATTAGTCTTCAATACTGCACGTAAAATAGAAATGTTGCAGGCTTATTTGCGCTCACTGAAGAGCTACCCAATGGCTTAGCCATGCTGGATTTCTTCTACAAAGATCTGTACGCATCTGAGCGCATTTCATTCTGTTTGAAGAAAATGCACTCTTTAATAATTTTTTTTTTTTTTTTTTAAACATATTCCTTGAACTCTTTACTCAATTAAGCTGTAGCCTGGTAATGCTGCGAATGCTGTGATTTGTGTCTTGGCCTCGGGAACAAGTGCTGCACTACTTCAGCGTTGTTCACTAAGGTAGCACAGAGTGAGGAGGGAAGCTTTTGTGAACATACATGCGATCACTCGCTCAAGGGATGAAATATATTTCCGAAGTAATTAATAGTTTTACAAAATACATTCTGAAAACTACTGACTCCACACCATTTCAATCCACATTTTCTATAGAAAAAACAAACTTTTTTTTCTTTACTTTTTGCTTTCTAATAAACTCTCATCTTCTCTCACTTGTAACTGCTGGTAGCCTCAGCTCTGCCTCCTTTCCATTCCCTAGCATAGTGGAAAGGGATATTTTACTAGTTTCCCATTCCTTTTGCATTTCAGGTGAGTGTGTGCATACGTGCGCTACACACTACTCAGCTTTCCCTTCAGCTCATCCAGGCTAGATTTCCCTCCTTTCAGTCAAAACGTACCTCGGCTAGCAAAAGTAGTCTAAAAATACACACACAATTCCTCCTCTTGGGAGAGGAATTTTCATTGCACTTTACCTCTGCATGAGCAGCTTCAGCATGAACTGTTGCAGCAGTTCAGACTTTAGCTCCACACGTATTCTTAATTCTCCATGACTTTAACTTGCCTTCCTTTCCTCTCTCCCACCAAACAGTTCCTCTGCCCTTTCTTCTGCTCTTTTCAGAATTCAAACATAATCAGCAAAGTTCAAAACAAAAGCAAATGGGACAAGGTAGGTCAGAAATCAGCTACATCAGACATGAAAAATTAGCGTGAAGAGCAGAAGGGTGAAAAAGATAGAGACACCTCCATTTCTGCTATTACTCCCCATCATGGACACACCTATATTTGCAGTCTCTTTAAGTTCTGGAAGACTGCAAGGGGAATGGTGTTTCAATTTAGAATACAGCACTAGTGGAGTTCTGAAAGTGCCGAAATCAACATGGTATGGAAAAGATGGTATTCCTACGTTTGCTATATTGAACAGAAGTTCTTCAGTTCGTAACGCAAATGCTCTCAGTGTTATCAGACTTAAAAAGAACATATAAAGTAATTTGTGTTGTGATTTTATGAATATGGCAAAGCAATACCATTACTCAAGGCCAGGCTGGACGGGGCTCTGAGCAACCAGATCTAGTTAGCAGTGTCCCTGCTCACTGCAGGGGGGTTGGACTCGATGACCTCTAGGGTTCCCTTCCAACCCAAAACATTCTATGACTCTATGATTCTATGATTCCAGAACTCAATGAAAGCAACATGCTGCTCTTGCATACAATGCTTTGAAGTGCTAGAAAGTTTGTATCAAATAATTTGACTTATTAGATAAACAAAACTTAATAACCTGGAAAAATGGTGAAAAGCTGATACCTCTGGCATCAGCGTGCATTAAATGTAGGTGAGCTGGTTAGATAAAAGGTCTAAACAGTTATGGTTTCCCCCCTTTTTGAACTGTTCTCATATGCCACTGAAAACCGTTTCAACTGACATTCAAAGAGGTTCCACTACGCTCCAGTGGACACATTTTAACCTTCCTGTAGTTGGGTAAGAGAACCAAAGCTAGAGACAACTCGGTCTCTGAACTTCTGTAAGTCCACTTTTTTTTTAGTGTCTTACTCAGGTTTTAAATGTTGTTTGCTTATAAAACGTATAGTGCCAATACCCTTCATGGAAAAGTTAGTTTTAAGTTGCAGCTGAATAGACAGAATTAGAAATTTACCACCAAACCAGTAATTTCTTCTGTAACTCATAACATGCTCCCCAGGAGAAAAACTTATTAAGACAAACCTCCAGAAACATGGAGTTCAACCTTGGTTACAAAAGACCCGTATGACAGCAAAATAAGGTAAAAGCCTGACCTTTTGAAGTCCTCCATTCTCCTCCACCAAAGGAGGAAGAGCACTGGTGCTATTGGTAGATGGTGGTTCGACATTGTAGTCACGAAAGCAGCAGAATAAGGTGCTAAAGATACTTCGACTCCTCTGCTTCTTCAAGCTGATATTACATTGGGACACTAGGAAAAAAAAGACAGGAGAAAAATAAATTCATGTAGCACAGATCTAGTTTTCCAGACCACAATGACTGAATTTAAAATGCATGTTTATTACCCTCAGAAGTCCTTCCCAAGTCTTAAGATAACCTCAGAGAGATTTTCCATCATATTGAGACCCCCTTCCTTCCATTTCAACACATCTCTTCTTGTCAAACTCACACGGTGATGTTAGCCTATTACTGACCAACCTGGATCTGCACAATCAAAGGTCTTGTCATATTAAGACACTAAATACTGAGACTTTTCCTAGAAATATCCAAAGCAGATACTGTAAACTACATGAAATAACTTGCTGCTAAAATACATCTCTGCATGGCAAACAGGACTGATCTAAACCAGAAGAGACGCAATAAATGCCTACTAATGCCCGGGCGTATTTTCTGGCCAGCTCATGTGTGGAACATTTAAACTCCTGCAAGGGTCAGGAAAAAAAAAAAAAACCCCAACAGCTGAGATGTTTCTGAGTTTCCTCTGTTGCTGTTTGAGCGCGTTGCTGGAGGACAAGAGGCAGAACGCAGAGGCAGCGCCGTGAGCTGCACCACTGGCTGCAGGAACAAGGGTGTTACTAAATAAACAGGAGGCCTGGCCTTCCTCTTCAACTTGCTTATTGGTCTACCAGGATAAAAAAAACCCCTAACAAACTGGTAAAAGATTACATTCAGCTCAATGAAAGCAAGTGTAGCATTTTTGAAGACTAAAAACTGTAGGTAAAAGCAACAGTTTGGAGAAAAGAAATGCACGTAAGACATGTAGTGATTTCCCCAAGATTCAAACTCCTGAAAACTAGATCTTGAACACGTATTAAAATAAAAGAGTTGGAAAAAAGTTTTAGAATATTTTAAGCAATACTCGATTTGATCACCAAATATTTTAATGATCTATTGTTAGCTAGAAGTATTTGTTTCCTACACCGGAGTGCAAGACCCGACAGATTTAGCGCTCTGCCAGGGCAGGGACAGGCAAGCTCTTCATCTTGCGCCTTCCGTGCAGCCAGTTTTCTTTGATGTTTATCAACAGCACTGCACCACACGGTACTGAATGCTATCAATACCCAACTTGTTAAGATCACACGCTAACACAGCGAGAGACAACCATGTCACGTGCGTCTTGTAAATACCTGCTTCACCGCAACCATCACCGCGAGTACTGCGCAAAACCGAACACCCCGTGCCAGAGCCGGGCGCTCCCCTCCACCGTGCCTTAGCCAAGGCCAACTTGCCCTCTCCATTAAGCAGAGGGATATTTTAGACTAGAGAGATTAACGGCTTCCTTTTCAGAGTCAACAGATTATTTCATTTAAAATACAGGCAAACAAGCCCCAACAAGTTCTTTTTTTATTCTTCCCCCCCGCCCCCCCAGCCATGCAGCAGCACATCTTAAAGCGGCAAACTTCACAAGGTGGACTACACCCAGAAAGAAGGATGCTATGGAAGTCGTAGCCCCCAGCAGATTAGTAGCCATCCACACACTACATAGTTTATTTACATTCTGCATTAGAAGGAGCAAAACGGTCCCCCAACCCAAAGCTAGAGGGTAAGTGGAATTCTTAGTAAGTTGAGGGCTACAAAAATGATCCGAGGGCTGGAGCACCTCTTCTGTGAGGCCAGGCTGGGAGAGTTGGGGTTGTTCAGCCTGGAGAAGAGAAGGCTGCGGGGAGACCTGATTGCGGCCTTTCAGTACCTAAAGGGGGCCTATAGGAAAGACGGGGACAATCTTTTCAGTAGGGCCAGCTGTGTCAGGACAAGGGGTAATGGTTTTAAACTAAACCAGGGTAGGTTTAGACTGGATCTAAGGAAGAAATTCTTTCCAATGAGGGGGGTGAAACACTGGCACAGGTTGCCCAGAGAGGGGGTGGAGGCCCCATCCCTGGAAACATTCCAGGCCAGGTTGGACGGGGCTGTGAGCAACCTGATCTGGTTAGCGGTGTCCCTGCTCCTGCAGGGGGGTTGGGCTGGGTGTCCTCTAGGGGTCCCTTCCAACCCAAAGCATCCTATGATGCTATGATTCTAGGATAAGTCCCATCACACTCCTCAACGGGTAGCTCCCATCTTCCCTCCTCTCTCCAATTATTAGGGAACTGCCACACACATCTACCTTCCTCCTGATATTACAAAGATATCAAGCGTGATCAGGGCAACTGAATCAATGCAAATAATACAATTACTAACACAAAAAGAAAATTTCAGGGGGAGAAGAGTTTTCTATGAAAGAGAACAAATCTCCCGTGGAGGAATTAAGAGACACCATCGCGCTCTCAAGTCCGAAGGTGTGCAGGTACCTGCGTGTGCTTTGACAAGAAAACTTGTGTGCAAGTTTTGGTGTGAACTTTCAAGCACTCTCTGAAAGTAGAAACAAAATCTACTGAATTTTGAAGAGCCAGCATAAGCTAGACATCAGTATTTTCCTCCTCTCAAAGCACTTGCAAGGTGTTTAACAGGTCCGCCAGTAATGCTCTGGTCTCCATATAATATTAATTTCCAAAATATTTTCCTGCCTTAAGGGAGTGTGCAATGCTCAGGTTCAGTTATTAATTGCTACTAAGAGGAAAGTGTACTGGTATCAAAAACTGAACGGGTTTTATAAACTTTCACCATTTAAAAAGTGCTCCGATAACAGAATGAAGTCAGAACCGTGCACAGATTTGTGTGCGCCTGTGCATTTAAGGAAGTGTTTCATTACTTTAAAGACACTTGTAAACTGAAACCAATCTAATCACTGCTTTTCAATACTCCGGTTAAACAGAAAACATATGCCAAATGCTAGCCACTGGTGGTATATGTTACAGTAAAAGGCTTATTCTCAAAATGTCACATTCTGTCTGCAACAAATTTGCAGAAACATGTGCTCAGAAACCCTCAAAGAATGCCTATGCAGCTATGAAGGACTTTTTCCAAAACAGTACTCAAGAAAGTTTGTATTGCAGGCACAAGCAAGTTTGTTGCAGTAACATCCAGGGAAAGGACTATTCCTGTCTGACCTTAACACACTGAAACATGCTGGAATTCAAACAGGAAGCACAATGCTATGTGTCCTGTTCCCTTCAGCTAGCACCACAGAAACCATCCCAATAATCTGTATTTTGTTGTCAGCCTCTACTTAAAAATACGACAGCAAGTAATCAGATTTGAATATTTAGAAATGCTCTTACACAGCATTTATCGTAAGCTTTTGTTTCTTCCTGGATGTTGTAAGGTACAAGAATGTAACATTAAACTTCATTCTGCAAACAACTTGCATGCATAAAATAGTCCTCCCAAAGCCAAGACTGCATTTTGTATTAAAGTCCAGTTTATATTTGAGGCTGGGATTGAGGCAGGTCTTCAGTGCAGGATCCATTCCTATAAAGCGAGTGCGTCAAGCAAGAAAAATTAATTACCAGATGTTTGCTTAAGAAATGTTGCAGAGCACTTCTGAGCTTAGTCTTTGGGAGGGGACTGAATACAAACAGCACGCAAGGCAAGAATTTACCTAAATCACATCACGTTTGTCCCCAAACCTCGTAATGCTAACGATCAGACCATGGATGGTCTGGACACGCAAAGACCCATATTAACTGCTTACAGGATGAAGTCCCAGATTTTCAAGAGAAATTCTGCCCAGTAACAACTACAGCATTTCACGGAGAGGAGTGAAAGCAGGGATGCTGCATGGGCTCCGATGGCTACAGCTTTATAAATACGTGTGTGGCCAAGAGATGCTCAAACTCCTCGCCTCTAGTGATTCCTCCGGTCTGGTTGTATCTTGCTCCTCCGAGCTGTGGTTTGCAGCAAGCCTTTCCATCAGGGATGAATTACAGCCGCGTTTTTAAATTCCTAAATTCCTAACAGCCTCAGCTGCACAGCAGATCAACGGGAACAGCGTAACCACTAAGGAACTACCATTTCTATCTTTCCTACACAGAGGACTGAAAGAGGCAGTAAACAGAGTAAGTAGTCTAAATAAGTATTAAAAATATCAGACAAATGCTACTGATTTGTCCAAATCATTTAAGAATTCTTGTTTTCTGTGATCAAATCATACATTTGAGATGGCCACTCATGCTCACTGCAAGATGTGCTGTTTGCCAGGTCTGCTCTTCTTCAAGCGTTGACCATACATACATACAGGTAACAACTACAACTCTGAAGATGTAAAAAAGCATTAATATCAAATCACTACCATAAATTTAGGTATTCTGGATGCCAGCAAATTTTAAAGATAAAAAACTGCAGAGGACAAAACCCAGCGTTCCTTAAAAGCCTATAGGGAAGACCAGGCTATAACGATACTAGAGCAGTAAACTGAATTATCCAAACTCCACCTCTGAGCATCATCCAGCATATGGAGTTTAGAGGACTTTTTCTTCCCCTCCCCCCCGCCCATCTTTTGGGAATGACAACCCTGATTTCTGGAACTGATTTCCTATGGCATCCACAGAAGTACTATACTCATTACCCCTACCACCACCGAACGCTGAAGACAATTTGAAGTGACCTTTTACAATCTTAAACACTGCATACCACACACTTAAATGCTGCGTACCAAGAGAGCCCAAGCAAAATAACTTCACAAGACGAAAGCATCTTATCCGTGAAAGCAGAGGAGACCGTAACCAGCAGATGTCTGCAGAAAAAAGCTGAAGAAAGGAGCAACGCAAGACTGGAGCGATGCTTTCGCGTAACGCCATCCCAGATGCATTGTACCTGCAGCTTAAGGAGTTCCTCACCTACAGACATCAACGGCGTACGTAACAGTCCTTGACTAATTCCTCTTTTGTGACTTTGTCCCATCACATTTGGAACCTACCCCAACTTTTAGTGCCAAAAGTATCCCAGGGCAAGAAGGGCCACAGCTCAGCCAACAGCTTCGCTGTTTCGTAAGTCTGAACCTCCTTGTTTCTTAGCTCATTTCTGAGCAGGAGGCAGGGGACTAGAACTGCACACAACATCCAGGATGAAGGGAGAGAGCACCATCAATTTGTA